TAATGTCTTGGCAACGTCTCTGATAGTGACAACTGACGATAGTTGGAGAGAAAGTATTAGGGTAAGACAGTGATTTATGAATAACTTTTTGAGAAAATTCACCTACTTACTAGGGTCTAGTAACCAGGATTATGATTGAGAATTGGAGGTTAGAGTTTAGAATTGGAGTTAAGGTTTTCATCACGTAGTGGCATCAGCGATAACGCCAAAATTATATTTAACTATGTGAATGAATGCATTTCGCTTCACAAACCAAAACTTGTTGTCTCCAATTTCATTGGTTTATCCATGAATTATAGCCTCACCAACATTAAAATCATAAAGGTTGAAACCATATCTGGTTGATCAGCGTTTAGCAGCCTTGTTCTGATTTATGGACGAATTATATTCATTACACTCTTTTTCGGACACTTTTGTACACCGATCCTTTTGAGCAGTGCTAAGATGACAAAACAAGTAAGCCTTTTAAGTTATTCTTTCATTCATATATGTCCATTCCAATACCTCACTTGTAACTATGACCATATATCATATACATGGTAGATGTGTTTCTGTCAGTTCATCTTTATTCTTACATGAACTATAAGAACTGAGTAGACTTACTGCTAGCTTAGTAGGTGTACTACAGAACTCTAATGCTTTACACATTCGTTGCATCTATTACTGAGTGTTTTTTCTTTCAATAGCATAATGTCTGAAATATACATATCCTAGGTAGAGTCGGTATTCAGCCTTGATTATTTACGTTGTATCAACGTGCACAATCGACAGAATGAATACGAAGCAAATAGGATTTATATTTCATTACCTACTTTCTACTTATTTCCTTACACCTGTTACCCCTCATAGAGGAACATAAGCCGTCGATTAGAATTCTACAACCAAATCTGTCCTGGAATCTTTCCAGGAGTTCCCGATTGCTACTCGTTTTTATGTTTGCCTCCAATTCCCAGTTTAATGTGCTTTTAGGTCTTCCTCTTCACTTCATTCACTGGAACAAATTATGGAGGAAGATGCAAATGATTACACATCATGCAAAGTAGAAACACGTTTTCGATCAGTATATTAGTTCTGTTGTTTTTTTCTTATTATTGTTGGTTTAGTAGCCTGTCTATTTTTCTCAAGTTAGCGACAAACCGACGACGACTGGGTGCTAAATCATGTAAGGCATAAAGTAGTCTGAAGCCAGAGCACATCACTACACACAAGCCGCTCACGATCAACTGACTGTAGTTGTTCTAAGGTAGGTAAATGCAGCACGAAAGCAGTACGGTGTGAATGAGTAAGAACAAAGTCTAGAATAAAAGCATGAGACAGTATTTTTTTATAAAATAATATAATATAAAGATAACCGTTATATACTAGTAACTTAAATACGGGTATAACAACCATTACAATAATAAAATACAAAATGTTTAGCATCAGCAGGTATTATACCGAGTAACATGAATTGCTGGAAAATTTGAACAAAATGTACTTGCTGTAATTAAACGGTTAAAACAGAATACAAACAGAAAAGTGCATAGTTGGAGAAACTGAAAACGGAAATGGATCGCAAGTTGTGAGACCAATGAGTAAGATAAAAACGACCAAGGGCGTGGAAGCTTTTTCACTTCATATGTCTCGATTTGAAGGACTATTATGAACCAACTGAATCCTAAGTCATTGTATTAGTTTATGGATTTCAGGTTTTCTAGGTGATTCAATCAGTTTGATAAATTACAAACACGATTTTATTTAGAAAACTGATTTACCAATGCCTATTGGATAAGTTTTGAATAATAGAATAGCAGAACAACTAATTGACTGACTTCATGAACAATATTAGAGAGATAGAGATTTTGATTAGATATAAAATATCCAAATGATTGTATGATTATCAGTATGGAGTTGTAGAGATTATTAAGTTTTGTAATTGAGATCATAAATCGATTGATGCTAGACCACCATTATAAACCTGGAAGCACTGGACGACCATTTCGTCTAAGTATGGGGCTCCTAAGCAGTGAGCGGGACTCGAAGCTAGACATTAACACCACTGGGTGCCGGTTCAGTCGTCCACGCACGAGACCGAAGGTCCTGTGTTCGGGCCTCGCGTGTGGAATCGTGAATGTGCAGTGCTGATGAGTCCCATATTACGGCAAAATGGCTGTCTAGTGTTTCCAGGTTTTTAATGGTGATCTAACATCAATCGATTTATGATCGCAATCAAGAAAATAAGACTGTATGGTTGGAATACTTTATTCGATGAATGATGAACTTGTGATCAAAAGTGAAAATCGTATTGCAATAAATGTTTATTTCTTTCTAATCCACCATCCTAACGCTAATCTTATCAAACTGTATGGATTCATTTAAACTTATATTCTAAAAAAAACACTAATTAAGCTTGTTTAGTTACGTCATAGAAGGTTTTAACCAATGAAACCCTAAATAACAACCGATTTCAATAAAAAGCACTAAATACTTATCAACATTTACTACTAAGGTATATTGTTTATATACACTGTCGTCTGTAGAGATATATCTTAATGTCATGGTAGATGGTTTTAAATAGAATCAATATTTAATTTTTGTTTGCAAAGCCATTATATAAAATTATGAACTGGTAGTTGTTGACATCAGATTTTTTGTCTATAATTTTTAACTAGTTATGAAATGCGCTTTTAACATAACTAATTAATTTCACCTTAACATAGGTTAACTGATTCAAACACACACGTATATATATATTTGTTAGTTTGTAACGCTCTTTTAAGCTCTTAGTAAAGACCAATAGATACTACTTTATGACAGTGTTCAATCCTCAAGCTGAGCTATGATGAGTTTTACGATTACAACATTCAGCTTAGAGAACGCAGCTTCTATAAAATTCTAATCATGATCAGAAAATCTCCGTCAATTCAACTGATACTCTTAAGACAGACAATGCTCCTTGTCTGGAGTTCAGTACTATCCTAAATATCCTTGTCATAAACTTCTCTCTCATCTGTGAGATGTCGTCTATAATTTTTTATTCAGCAAAATTTCCCAATACTGTATCATATCATGATGAAATGTGCCAATCAATATATTACAAAACGTCATGAACATCACGAGCACATAGATTAATGGTCAAATGTACTGTAAATTAGTCACATATACATATATGAACTATATAACTTCAAATCAAAACATGAAAAAATGACTACGATTGTCCAGTATTATTACACTATTTTGGAGTCTCATCGTAGCATGTATACAAAACTAGGAAGTTTTGTATACGAAAAGTAATAATAAGTCCATGCTACAACTTAATTAAAATCATAAAGAAGAAATGACTTCAGAAAAAGTCAAATATTAGATCTTACATCCTGTGACTACATGTAATGTTGGTGATAATTCATTTCAACCATATAGTATAACAGTATAGGGTTGTGGAGATTACTAATATTCTGATCGAGATCATGCACCGATTAATATTAGACCACCATTGAAAACCTAGAAGCACAGCACGGCCGCGTCGTACCATTGCGGGAGTAGTGAACGGCATTTCGTTTGAAAATTTAAGGAACTTTTGGAGAAGTATCTACAGTGTTTGACATTTCTTTAAGTTCACAGGAAAATTGTATAAACCACTAACACGCAACTTTGTACCTGATGTTGATTGTTGTTAATTTAAGCCTCATTAGAATTCTACGGTTTGTAAGTTAAGCAGAAAGTAGATATATTCAAAATATATCAAGAAGAAACAAAACACTCCTAATCTTTTATTAGATTGTTAACACCTTATAATTCAGTATTGATTTGGAGACTGAACAGGAAAGACTATCCTGAGATGAACGGCTTCATTGTGAACACAGGCTAGCACCAATGCCTAGGTAATTATACAATAACTCCGATATAAACACATACTTCTGTAAGCGATTATGTCATAATTACTAAGACTTCCCAAATATTCTTTTCGTGATCACGTGAACAGCAAGAATCTTTAGCTGCAAACTAACGAAAGTTACTTAAACACTACTCACTTTCCCATATGCAAAAGTTATTGAGGAAAGTGGTCATAGCAGTCTTACTTGTGTATTTCCACACAAATAGCTGACATTTTCTGTTCAATGTACATTTAGCTACTATAAAATCAATTTCTTACTCACTTTAAATATAAAGTGATGTTATAACATCGACATTCGGAAAGAAGCTCAAACATATCCCATAGGTGTAATAACTCCGCTGCATATATACACAATGAACAGAGCATTTATCAAGCTTCACATTATGACGCATATCAACCAAAACAGTTGCGAAAACGAGCCCCAAATGCCGCAGAGGGGAAAAAACTAAGTACATAAGACGTACGATTTGAACCGCAACCAACTTTTTATAGTACCTAATGAACGAAATGCATCAGAACAGAGGTAAGAACGGAGGAACGCCGAAATAAAACACAACTGGAATCATCGGTCACATTAGCTTACATATGAGTAGAGAACTAACTAGTAAACAATCAGACAACCCACACAAGAAAATTACAGCCTTCACAGACTTCAGCCAACAAACAAGTGCAAGAAAGACAGAACGAATCTTTGCGAACCGAAAGACATAACTAATGGAGATGCCTTGCACCTCTCCCAACAACTTAATGTTCGTTTTAGACCAAAGCTGAATATTTGGTTCCTGACCATCTCAGAACATACTTTCATCGTGAAAACGTGGGTTGAGAGCAAATTCATCACCACTAAATCTGGAATCTACTTGACCAGCTCGATGGCATGGCCTCTCACCTAATCTACAAGTTTTATTCGGGACGTATTACTGCGTAGTGTTTCATCCACCTCAGAAACAGGAATAATTTGCACAGTAGCTGACGATGAGTCGTCAGACCGGTGTGGTCTGTGCCCTCCGCGAAGTAGGCGACCGTTCGACATCGCAAATGGTCGACGTCCCCCAGCGAGTCCACCTCACCTCAAACCTCGAGGGAAACTCGCAACTCGGAGTGCAACGGCGAGTTGGGTTCTCATCACACGTCCCACCCCTTAAACTCAGCCAACCCCTGTAGCACGCTGTAGTCTCGGGAGCTTTTCAAAAGGTCTGAGGGAACTCGACAATCCATCAGTGATCCAGAGTAACACCCCACTAATTGACAAGCATTCCCCTATGCTCCTGCCTGTTTCATATACAGGAACACCGACGACTTATCGCTACGGGACGCGAGCGCCGGTATGAGATGAATTAGTGAACGAACTGTCGCGCGAAAGAAAAGACTGGTCCCACTTGTCCACCCAAACCCGTGTAACTCACCCAGTCACAACCGTAATAAAAAAGAAGATAGTTGTACATGCGGAATTAATCCGTAAATTTATTTTTGACAATGTTTCACAGCATACATAACGATGGTTCAACCATACAAGTTCCCGAGTCCATTGCGTCCCACGCCGCGGACGAGTGTCAATCCTCCAAGGGGCACCGCGAGATCTGCAAAACCACTCAAAAATTGTGAACAAAGTGAATGGATACCCTGGTCTCGACCTTGCTACATGCCTTTCTGGACCCAAATTTACGGCTCTACAACGAATTTTAAAACTGCTCACTTTCAAGTGCCTGACATAGTGACAGGCCTGCTTAACACAAGGGGCTGGAAGACCTAGCAAGTCAACCTCGTCTCCCGCCCAACAAGCATCCATCTCCCTCGTCACTACCAATTACAAAACTCATAACTCAAAAGACTAACTGGCTTCAACACTTTTATTTCCTTTAATACTAGTGACAAAGCTGGGTTAAAAAATGACGCTGCATGGGCTTATGCAATTATGATACGAAACTTTACACTTAAGGATGAAAGTCACTCTTGATTGGATGCTAACTCACAACGGACATGACAGTTAAAAAGAACGCTCGATTGCACATGCAGTGAAAATTAACAGTTAACAGTATATACACAGTGAATAATAGGATCCCTGGCCTCCTCAGCTATAGACAGGCTGTCGACTTTCTGCTGGCTGACCTAGAACTTGAGGGCGCTAGGACAACTCTGTCTCCTCTGCTAGTAGAACTGCCTAGACCAAACTGTTGAGGCCATACTAACCCTGCAACGGATATGAAGAAGCAATTAGACGTTGAAAACATGCTCATACTAAGAAATTCTTACCTGACTGAAATTAACGGCGGCCATAGCCCCCTATGAAGAAGACAGATTAGTTTGGACGGAGTGTGAACTTACCTCCATAGGGAGCATTCCTCTGGTAACCGCCTGGTGGGCCACCGCGCATAGGACCACCGGCATAGTTTTGTTGGTTCCCGTAGTGCCCAAACCCATCACCCATTCCTCCCTGGCCCCAGCCAGGACCATCTCCATTCATGTGATTTGGACCCCAACCTCCTCCGTAATTCCCACCCCCGTAGGCACCACCACCACCACCACCGTTTGAGCCATATCCACCATAAGGACCACCTAGTCGATAGAACCATCAAGTAAACTACTCACCTCCGTAGGAACCCCCGTAACCACCGTCATACCCGCCATAGCCTCCACCCATCGGTCCGTAACCGCCGCCACCGTAATTGTTATTGTAATCATTCCGGGACTCCTGCTTCTTCTTCATTGTGTTGATTTGCTCTTTGCTGAGAGCCTTCTTCACGTCCGCCCTACTGGATCCGATATGGTGTGGTTTGTACAGTATAGCTTTATCAACAGGGTCGTAATCATCAAACGTAACGAATCCGAAGCCGCGTGACTCGCCCGACTCCTTCCAAGCAACAACCTCACACTCAGTGATGTTACCATACTTGCTGAAATATTCACGCAGTTCTTCATGAGTTACATCTTTTTTCAAGCCACCTACAAACAGCTTCGTTACAGTCATGTGGGACTCGGGACTATTTGAATCTTCACGCGGCATAGCTCTCTTGGCTTCAACGGTTTTACCATCAATTTCATGTGGTCTATTGGCTTGAGCAGCATCCACCATTTCTGGTTCCTTGTAAGTGATAAAACCAAAACCCCTGGAACGGTTGGTTCGACCATCTTTCATCACCACAACATCGACAATTTCGCCCCATTGGGAATAGAAGTCCTTCAGCTTGGCTTCTGTAGTAAGAGGAGTCAGGCCTCCAATGAACAGCTTGCGGAATTGTTCAGTACGACGGTCGTTGTTTTCAGAGTTACGTCTTCCCATTTCGTCAACCACGGAAACAGACAGTATGAACTGACAGTATGGCAAACGGATATAACCTCACCGCAAATTGACTAAAACAAAATCAGGAAAACATAAATATCTCCATATGTGCTTTGAATTTTCGTTGTGTTTTTTGGTGGATATTTTTCCCGAAAAATAATATGATTGTGATTGTGTCTGTCACTATCACATAGGTCGAACAACTGTTCAATGTTCTATGGAGACTGATGGAAGTCGTGTCATTATTCACTAGTTCGTGGATGTGCTGAAGGTAATTGAGCGATTTTAAAGCATGCACTGAGTATTTTAAAATTGCTACAATATGAGTCTGACGGTCATGGCTGTCATTGACCGACGATATGCTAATGGGACAATACTGACGATCGAGCTAAAACTCCTGATTTTGTCGGACAGAAATGATGAATTATTTGTCAGTTGAAATAAACTTCTGAGTGGCGCCCTCGGCAACCACAGAACCAAAGCATCAGAATTATCCAAAGCTATATCGTGTAACACTCACTAACGCTACAGACGTAGAGGATATCCTATTAGCTTGTTACTTACTGAAATCAGATGGGAATGCAAGAATACTCCCTGACATACAGTACCTTGAGCGCGTTATCATCCGGAACATATCTAAGCGATCTCGTGAGACGTTTTTCGGCGGAAGAAATATCATTGTGAAAGGTGTGCCGGAAAACACAGTCCCTGACCATATAAACTCCGATATTAGGGAATGGAAATTCATCATGCAATCCTTGGAGCTCAGAAACATATTGACTCAACAAGTGATGAGACTAGCCATAAAGGACGTAGATTCTAGACCCCGGCTAATGAAGGTAGCCTTCCCATCCTAGCATATAGCAACTGCAACTCCGGAAGCATTTCGTGCCAACAGACGTCGGTTGCCATCTGAAATCGGTGTGCATCCGAATAGGCCACATGACCCCAGGATCAAACACAAAAGCGAGTTGGAGCTGACCATTCTATTTGTGAACGGTTTTGATCATAAAAGACGTGGAAAGGACAGGGGCTACCAACTCGGGGAAAATTGTATAGGTAGGCTATCTGTCTATCCACATATGACTCATACAGACAAACAGAATGGGGAAGCTCACTCGTTTCAAATTGCAAGAATAAACTGCTTCTACATGAACGCCACGAGTTTACCGAATAAAATGGATGAGCTACGCAAACTCAGTAATGCTGACGATGCTCATCTGATAGGAACATCTGAAACTCGGATATCTAGTCGGTTTACGGACTAGGAGCTAGCAATACTCGGTATATCTTTGTTTCGCAATCACACAAAAACGGTAATTAGAGTAGCCTTATTCTTACGATCACGCATGGAGGTATATCAAGTGCACAACCAAAAGTTTATCATTCTTGATGAATTGGTATGGTGCTCAGTAAGATTGTCTACCACATCTAGGTGTCTAGTTGGAGTCATTTTGTTGAGGACGTCAGATCCCCAAAACTCATATTTTGTAACTTTATCTTTGTGGAGCCTGTATGCAGATGTACGCTTGGGCATTTCTCACCACCCACGCACATAGTCAATTGATGAACTTATCGATTAAATGTTTAGAAAATTCCATGGAAACATTGATTATATATATATATATATTGTATAAATACGCTTGATTTGTGTTCTTGAGGGACCTGGTATCTTCTGGTTGTCTGCACAATACACTTTTCTACATTTTACAAAGACTTCTGCATTGAGTTAGCTGAATCGGGAATAACGGACCATTATAGCCTGTCGAGTCGCTGAATCCTTGACTCTTCGTTCCGTTCCGAGTAAAACGAATCAGTAGTAGCATTCAGGTTTAACGAACATAACACATTTATAGGAAGCCCGCTGTTGAAATCGAGTATGAGAATCGTATGCTGGAAGGATTATCCCGATCTACTCGTCTCGGATTCTTTATATCTTGATTCTAGGAAACTTTAAGCGTCCTAAAGTCAGTTTAGCGGGACATATGTATATTGGAGGTGAGAAATCTAATGAAGCTCGTTTCTTCAACCTCATTGGGGATCTGAGGTTATTCGGAAATATGAAGTCGGCAACTCGTTGGAGAAACAGTCGGAGACCGTCGCGCTTGGACTATGTATTTACAAACTAAAAATTCCTACTTGACAATCTCTCAATCCTAGCTCCCCTGGGGAGAAGCAATCACGCCATCGTAGTTCTCAGTTTTATCAGTAAAACTGAGCCGAGACATCCCGCCCACAACATGCTCTGGAATTTCAAACGTTAAATGTGTCAGCTTTACAGGACAATCTACAACAGATGGATTGGGGAATTCACACTCAACTTGATGTAGATGCTTATTGGGATTTCTTACTGAACACGATCTTATGTGCTACAAAGCAGTCTGTTCCTCAACTGGTCCCCATAATTTGCAATCAACCAACAGTCATCAAGTACCACACTCTTTGGTTGCTAAGCCACAAAAGGCACTGTTGGGCAGAATACAAACAGACTGATAAAAACGGCGCGCACAGGCAATACAAACATATAAGGAGCATATGCAAAAAGGCAATAAGAGAAGACAGGCTTCAGGATTAGATTAAGCTTATCGATAAATTTGTCTCCCATCCGAAAAGCTTATTCCATTATGCAGCCTCTCTTCGACAGGCCAGAACTAGAGTTTTTGATGGAGTTTTGTTCTCTGAGCTGGATGTTTTGTTAGTGGAGCTTTCATCGTTCTGAAAACGACATCATAGGCTCTTCCCATTTCTAGACCGAAATGGACTTCAAGTTCAGTTTGCCTTATTTTTCCTACTTCGCAGTTGTATTAGTTAATTTTACCACCCTATTTTTTCACTTGAAGTAGACAGGTAACTCACTCGACCTATCGATACTGTTCAACTAAACTGGGTCGCTAAGGAACACTCATTACCACCCTAAAAAGTCAAGAGAACCGCACAATCTATTTCCTACTACTAGTGGTCTTGTATCTATGTGGCCTGTTACCCATCGACTGGTTAGGACAACACAAAATAACATCATCACCAAGTTAGCGTGTGTTTCTTCCTGTTTATTCTTTATTAGCCTATTACTCTTCTGTACACTATGTTGACTGGCGATTAATATTGTTTCTCCACTCGTTACCTTGTCTACAACTCATATACTTCTATACTTTTCCACCTGTTGTAATAACCAACTATCCTACACTATACCCTTCTCAATGCTTATGCTCTGATTGGCAAACTATACTTTATACTATAGTCAATTAAAGCACTTCATCGATGCCTTACCCACAGTCCATAACTTGTAACTACCTGATAATCTTGTAAAGTGTTACTTATAGAAATAGTGATTTCCAACAGGATATGAAACACAGAGGATTGTGTGAGGTATGACATATATCCAAAAATAAGCTTAAATGAGCCTAACATCACAAAAGGAGGGAGGGTGGAGTTACTGATCAGCAAGCATTGATGGTAAGGGCGATGACTTTGATCTACCCATGTTTGTTGGGGCAGAACATTTTGTATGTATCAGGCTTTTTATGATTGGGAACGAGTCAATCAATCTGTGATATAGATTGTCTTCCTACGACCACCACTCAGACTCATGTTTCCAATTTTATGCTGGATTAGCTATTCTACTAAGACAATCTATAACATGCTAACTCGGACTTTCACACTAGGATTGTTTGGCTGGCATCGGATAAACAAAAAACGTTAGACAACAAAAGATACAGTCATTAGTATTCTTAACACGTCACCCTCTATATACACACCCTTCTAATAACCCGCCTTCCTTGAACCAGCCTTGACTTCCTTTCCTTCATGTGGGCTTACTCCAACATGTTAAACGACACAACTCATTGTTCTTTATTACTACATTCTCTTATATGGAGCTTCTGAATACATTTCACTTTAAAAAGAGAAAATATGAATCTAATCTAATTTATTATACCTCTGTATGTTCTACTACACAATGTTAAGCAAAGTTTGGCGTTCATATCCAAGTGCTTTACTGCTCTTCTGTTTCTCTTTTTTCTTCTTCAGAATCTTGCTCCGAACGCTCAGCTATGGGACTTCTGGCGTCTGGAACAAACTTGACGTACGCGTCCCCCCAAGGTCATGGTTTACAGCAAACGCTATACGAGTATAATTTATAACAACTATAAACTTAATAAGTTGCGAAGCATTTTGTGAACCAACAAATGTTGTAATTTATAGATCATGCCTGTAAAAATGGCGTGTACCTGCACATGCAGAAATAGATATTTTTATTATTATATTATTATTGTTCTTCTGAACGACATCATCAGCACAAACTTCGGATGGAAGTGAGGCGTTCAAATTTCTCCATATGTGTTTCACAGCTTGTCCTGTACATCTCGATGCTAATTGATTCTTGTTGACCTTAAACTTGTCATTGATTACTTCTTTGTTCTGGTCGTATCTCCCATTAGTTTGATTTGTCTTCTTTTGTCATTTCATCCTTTGGTTTGCATAGGACTGATTGTAGGGATTTCGTTGGTTTGTGTGCATCACCTATTCCGAAGGTTTTTGGCAGTCTCGTAGCGGTGTAAGATCCAAACTACGTTTGGACTGCTGGACAGCTGTCTGGATGAGTTAGATACGCGCCCTCGCCCGATTGAAACCAAAACAAGTAATTGGGTAAGATAGCGGTTCTATAATTTATCATAAAATTAAGTGTACATTATTACCTAAACAAATATAACCACTCAGCTATCCAACCAATAATTGTTCAATTGATCAAATCTAAACTACAATAAATAAGAAAGTTGATAAAGGATGCAAGAAAGTTACCAATCACCACAAATAAATGTTATTCTATCCTGTCTGGATAGATCACGTACAGATTCGTTCAAAAGGTAACAATTGGTCGCTCTATAACACAGAGTGTTTTCAATTCTGGAAGAGTGCTTCAATTCACAACCAAAATGCACAATTCCAGTCAACACAGGTCGAGCAATCAAAAGCAGGAACAAACCAAAATGGCTGCCGCCCAGACTTAGTATAAAGTAAAACAACATAAGTGCAGTTCGGGAAGAAACATGGGGAATTAGTGAAGGTGTAGTAAAAACGAAAACTATAATAAAATACAGATATTAACAATTCAAATGTAGCCAAAAAGTTAACAATGTACAACTAAGAGGATCAATAGGAACAAAGTTCAAGTATATACATGGAGGGATTTTCACAAACACACAAGCATTCAAAATGGATCTTACAGCGGTTTGTGATATGG